GGGAAACGTTTTTTTTTTTTTTTTTAAATTGTCCTGCCTGTGTCCTTGTTGGGGAGGCCATTAAAAATAAGTCAAAGCAACTGGACTTGCTGTATTTGTTTTCTTGAAGACAACCAACCAGCTTTCTCCCTTCAGAATGACTTGTACAAAATCCTCTGGGAATAAATTTGGTGAATGTTGTTCCAATCCACATCATCTGTCCAGTTGCCTTGACTTATTTTTTTACAGATATACCATGACCTGGATGAATGAGAACCTTCAGACTTGTTGGGGAGGTTCAACCTCCCAAATTGTCCTGATCACCATTGTCACTAGGCCACTGTAAACAAACCTGAGTCCTGCATCCTGATGCTGCTGTGCTCTCATACTTGCAGCGACGGTTACAGGGTTAAGGGATGCAGATACTTCTGCTGTTTGTCATTCTTTAGAGAAAGAAAAGACATCTGTGGCTCAAAGTTTTCTTTATCACAAACTGGAACTTACAAGATATGATGTTGATTCTTTACATTTCTCCTTTTAGAGAGAACGAAGAAGCTGTTATTCAGCGGAGCAAAAGCTATTATGGGGAACCAGCCACACCAAAACAAGACTAATGCAGAAATGGATAGTCCTGTGCCTGAGCTACTGACCGGACAAACTACAATCGGACAAGACGGAAAGCTGCACAGAGCATCTCAGACACGTAGGGATCACTGGAAACGTTAGATGTTGGAGTGTTTGATCAACTGAAATGGCGTGCATTGGGGGATGTTCTGCTAGAAGACTGGTGTGATCACTGGATGGATGTGCTTTTGTGTGAGTTGCACTTGCTGTATACTACACAGGACCCTACATCACAAGGTATACTGTCAGAGTGCCACCATGTTGTGACCTCTGACCTTCCCGAACTCCACTATTCAAAGAATGGAATGTCTTAAGAATGCCTGGTGAGACCTAAAATTTGGTTGAACGCTTTACTGTGCCTTTCTTTGGTGCACAGGTACAATAGAGAAGATTAACTTATCCTTTTCTGTCCCTTTCCCCATGAATGAAGCTGCTTGGAGAGTTCCGGCCAATCTTGAAATGAGTGAATTGTGACATGACATATGTGCTTTTGGTTCGCGTGTTCTTTTTATTCCAAAAAGATTTAGAGAGAGAGATTTAGAGAGAGAGAGATTTAGAGAGAGAGAGAGATTTAGAGAGAGAGAGATTTAGAGAGAGAGAGATTTAGAGAGAGAGAGAGAGATTTAGAGAGAGAGAGAGAGATTTAGAGAGAGAGAGAGAGATTTAGAGAGAGAGAGAGAGAGATTTAGAGAGAGAGAGAGAGAGATTTAGAGAGAGAGAGAGAGAGATTTAGAGAGAGAGAGAGAGAGAT